AAACATAAAAGGAGATTTAGATAAACTTTACTATTAAATTGAATGTAAGTGTAAATTTAAAAATATGAATTTGAAAAATACAAAGTTTGAGAAATAAAGTGAGCTTGCTAGGAAATCAACTACTCTATGAAGTGCAGAGATTTTATATGTCAAATCTTCCCCTCATTCTCTGAATTAGACATGCTACAACTGCTTATAATGTGTACCCTAAGGCCACAGGATAGAAAAATGCATGGAGGTTGCTGCTGAGCGAAAAATAACCCAAAAGACGATATGAAAGATAAGCAAAGAACTCAGGGAAAGGTACACTGAGGAAGTCAAGAAATGAAAGGGAATTTCTAAAGTGAGAATAACTAAAAGACACGCTGAGCCTACATTTTGGTATCATCTGTAAAATCTAAGAGTTCTTCAGGCAAATCAATTGGTAGAGAACACAGCAGGAAACAGCAATACACATTAAAGATCACTTCTTGCTAAAAAACTAAATGAAGGTTCACCTCAGCTACAAGTAATCAGGTAATCAATATATGAGCGCTGAAGGACATGGAGTGTAAAATTGCAAATCCAACAGAAAGCATTTCTGTATTATATCTGTCAAGACAGAGTGATGGGAGAAAAGCAAATGAAAATATCTATGCTTATGGTATTCTATTGGTGAGACAGCTGATTTTAAGAACAACTTATTATTTCATACTTCATTTGCCACTGGCAAGTATTAGGTAGAAATTCTCCCGATATTAAGAAAGAAAATGAATTCTAAGAGGAAAATAAGCTGGTAAGAGGAAGAGCCTTGCTTTTTATTTTATCTACGTTATATAGTGTGTCCTCAGTGTATGCAAACTATTGCTGCCAGAGATCCAAGATGACTTGTGTTGCTGTGAGTTGCATTACTTAGCTAATAAATCCTATTAAGATGTCTATTAACACAAGTTAGAGCCTCATATTTACATAAATGTCAGATAACTTAGGTTTCGTGCATATCAAGCTTTTCCTGCAGAACATGATTCTAATCCACCCAGAACACTTTGGCACACATGCAAACAATCTATTTTTACAGAATCATACCATGGCTTGGGCTGGAGGGGACCTTACAGCCCACCCAATCCGAGCCCCCTGACATGGGCAGTGCTGCCCCTCACAGATGGGGCTGACAAGGGCTCTATCTGACCCAACCTTGAGCACTTCCAGGGATGGGGCACCCACAGTTCCTTCTGGGCAGATGCACCAGGGCCTCACTGCCCTTTGAGTGAAGAATTTCCTCCAAACAACTATCTTAGATTTCCCCTCTTTTATTTTGAAGTCATTATTCCACTATCCTATTCTCATATTTAGGAAAAAGAAAAAAATAGCATCGGAATTGGTTCATTCCTGAATAACAAAGGAAAGCTGTCAATGCAGAAAGAAATAAGTAACAGTTGTATTTTGTGTTTGTGCTAGAAGAAAAAAAAGTTGTACCAATCTCCCCTGAAAGAATACTTCTGACTCTAAGATTCAGAAAAATGTTAAATATGGCTACTAAAAATACATTGTTTAAAACAAGATAGCATGAAGATTTTGTATTCATAAGTTTTCAAAAATAAGCAAAGGAATACAGCAGGCCACTGATAATGATTTTCTTGTCATAACTCATATTTCATTTGTTCTTGAAATACTAAGGAAACTTTATAAAGCTAAAAGAAAAAAGATCTTGTGCTTTAAAGAGTAAACGAGACGACCTGGATAATTAAAATCCCGTAAGCCCAGCATCAGTCCTAGGAAAATAATGGAATATTTTCTACAAGTCTCAACTAATGAAGGATTAAAGAAGCGTTTTAGAATTAATGTCAGTCAATATGACTGTCTTTTGGAAAACAGAACTTGCCAAGCTGGCATGGTATCTTTGAAGAGATCGCAGGAACCAGGCGCCATTCTGTGCTGCCTACTTCCAGAGAAGAGTCTGGATGGCAACGAAATTCCCTGAAAATTGAACTTGTCTTTGAAGTGAGATTATACATCAGCATGACATGAAACACCTGCCTGCCAGTTTTACTGGGCATGTAGTGTTTAATTGTGGTTTGTTTTTTCCAAGAACTATTTCTTTCACCCTTGGCATGCAAATGGCAAGCTACTATTAAACACAATTATTCAAACTTAATAGCAAAGGGAAGTCATTTGAAGAAATGTTCCTAAATCTCATTTACAGAAAAAAAAAAAAAATAAAAATCTATTGCTTTGGTCCTGGTCTGAAAAGAGCTGAGTTTGAGATTCATTTCCTACACATTATGATGATCTACTTACTAAATCATTATCGTAAGAATTTCTGCTTCTTTGCAAAGTCCAAGATGCAAATTCTTGCAACTTCCACAAGTTTATGATGTTTCTCAGCTGATGCTCTTTCAGCAATCCCAGCAGACCTAATTTAATTTCTAATCTTTTCACCATGCTTAACACATTTTTCTAAATTATTTTGCATTTGTACTCAGAGGGAGTACTGGCTGATTTTTGCTTATAAAGCTTTCTCTTTTCATTCCCATTGTTTCCTATGCAAAAGGAATGAAGCTAACTGCATAGAGCAATTCAGTGATCAGCTGCTTTCAGTCCATACCATATCTCAATGACAATATGGCATATATTTTGGATTTGACATATTTCATGCTCATAGCACAGAGAGGCGTGTACTGTACTTTACCTGTGATTTTTGAGTGTAGGGCAGAAAGCCAGAGTTTTCCAGACAGCCCAGGAAAATACGTGAGTGCACAAGTTTAAAGGTGTAGAAATTGTGCACATTCGTGTTTGTTTAATCATATTATTTTTTGGCAAAGAAGAATGTTAAACTTAAGAATTTCAGGTAATGTTAAAAATTTACAATAAGTAAACTGAAGAACAATCAGAAAGACAAGGTACAAAGAACAATAAGTGCTCTGGTGTTGTACCAGACACATGGTAGAAGATTTCAAAATTTCACGTCAGAAAATGTTAAGATGTTTCTGTTGGTGTTCTTTCAGTACTTCCAGATTTAGTCATGTTTTTATTCTTATCAAAACAATTTTTTTCTTAATTTTCATTTTCTTTGACTGATCAAAGCACTGTTCCTTGTCATACATTAAAATAATCTTGTGATATACTGAATTTACTTCTGTACTGTTTCTTGAAAAGACCTTTAAGGTTCTGTGACAAACAGATTTGATTACTTTGTACAAAACTACTGCATATGCCTAAAGAAGATATAAAACTGCTTTCATTTGTTAGAACTTCACATAATCTCCCTCCCCAGAACTTTCTTCCGATTTGGATACAAAAATACACAGCTCTGATGTAATGCAGAGTTGCCATGATAGAGCCAAGAAAGCTGTTTATGACATTTTTCCTATACAGACTATATCTTTCTGAAGTCCTCCAATCAAGTGGCCACAAACTGTTATTGAGGGGCCTTCAGAATTTTTCATGTGTTACGCTTCAGTAAATTATCTTTCACATTGACTGAATTTATTCTTGTTCCATATTGTTTCTGAAAAATGTTGTATACTGGAATTCCAATTTTGTTATTCTCTTTGTCTTATCCCATATTTGAGAACAAACTTCACTGCTCCTAGATTCATCATTTCCAGCTTCAGTCTTCCTTTTGTTTAATATACCTCCACGTCTTTAAATTCTTATTTCTTCTTATTTCTTCTTAAGCTCCCTTTGAGGAGCTACCCAACTATTCTCTCATTACTCTATAGGCTGAATTTGTTCTCTCCAAATATTAGATTTGATTTTGCCTGTTGTTTTTTTATTATTATTATTATTATTATTCCTCAAAAGGGAAATGGAAGAGGAAGTATAACCTTTCCATGTAGTGCTTGCTTATCTTTAGAGCACTGTCTCTGATGCCACATTCCTTCATTCTTATAGCTTTCGTATTATAAAAGCAACCTTTTTGATCTCCTGTTCTGCTTATCCCTTAAAATCTATTTCATTTTACCTCTGCTTCCATTATAAGAAAGGAAATTAAAATAATTACAATATCTTACAAACATCTCCAGATTCTTACTACTCTGGAATTATCCTATCCAGAATATTCAATTCTATTCCATACCATCCAGTTTATATATATACTTTAGTGCACATGCAAGAAGTAAAAGAAGTATGCCTGTGCAGTTTACAATGGTACACCTAAAATAATAATATTCATGAATGAATAATACTATGCATAAATTTTAGGGTATTTTCTGTGCAATGCCAGGAAATTCTTAGTCAATACCTCAGAGAACCAAAACACATTGATAGCTAATTTAGAACTGCCCACATTTGTAGAGAACATTAATTATGTTCTTAGAGCTCATTTAAAATGAGCTTTTAATTAGAGAGTATGTCCTCATATCGTAATTCTTAAAAGGACAGAAATTATGAGATGCTAGGTAATTCTTAAAATAGCATGCTTCAATGTTCATTTTTCTTTTATTTTACTTGAAATGTAGAGACTACTTCCTGAAGTCATTATTGGTTTACTCATGGCAGTTAAAGTGTAGGATAATGGAGAATTCTATTTCATTTCTTATCAGCAAGGTGGTATGTGGGCCATCCTGCTAACAGATGTCTCCTCTAAAATTTGGTAAAAGGTCAACAGAGGAAACATCGCCTCTATGAAGAAGAGTATAATACATTATATGACTGCCTTAGACTGGGAGATGACTGATCGATTTTCCTTCCATTATTTGTCTAATTATTCTCCCATACTGTAAGAAGGTAAAGCACAGCACACCACTTTGCAAATTTGTGAATACAGCTCCATGAAAGAGATTTCACAGTACTTCACAGCATCATCCCTCATGTGAAAGACTGCTTAGATAGCATCCAGTAAAATCTTATTAATAAACCTATATTTTTTTAATTCAGCAGCTCAGTTTTATTTAATTCTCCAGTTTCTAATATTGCACAAACACACTGCTGTATAACACATTACCATCTAGGCTGTCTCTGCTTGTCCCATATGTCACATTTGTCATTGTTAGAATTCAACAAGAACTTAAACTGATTACCTGGTTTGCTTTCATTTGGTTTACACTGAACTTCTTCAACACATTCTGCAGGAAACCATCCAATATGTCCCCGGGTGCTGCCTTCCCAGAATCCACCTTCTCCAATACTTAAAACTAAAAATAGAGACATAGGAAGCATTAGACTTTTTTCTCTTCTGATGTAAAAACTAAGATTATTTGAAAAACTTTTTAATAATAATTGAATATCATGCTCCTAAGAGCAAACACACTATCTAATAACTTAAATTCTATTGCTGCAAAAGTAAGCACAGAGTAAACTTCAAACGTAACTTAACCCTAATCAACCTTTGAAACCCCTGCCCAAACTATTTTTATCAGAAGTTTTTCAGCCCTTACATAATCCCTTTCATTTTCAGTTTTTGCATTGCCAATTTAAAAGAATAAACGTATGGTCGTATTAACACCAAAAAATGTGTCCTTCCTGTTCAGATTAAGCTGAAGTGATGAACACACCGTAAAATTGAATCCATGTTGAAACTGGGTTTCCATATATATGTATACATGGAGAGAAAGAGATCTCATATGTTTTGTACTTCCTAAGGAAACATGCCGTTTTATTTAGTGGGTAACTCCAGAGACGTGTAATATAGGTCAAGTAATGTGGTTCAATAGTTTGAGTATGCAGCAGCAAAAACATCCCATAGGTGCACTACACAATGTACATGCCTTTTGAAACATTTCAGTGTCCTTTCTCAGTAGAAGATAATAAAAATAGGGACATAGTAAGTTTCAAATGGAAAAAAAAAGCTTTAGTTCTAGTTATCAAGGATTGTAATAATTGCACAATAATAATGCATGTTTTTACTTCTAAGCAATTGGAGGTGAGATTCTTCCTAATCACTGTGTTAATAATATACACTAAAAGAACATAAATGTTCTATTAAAAATATACTATCAATTATTTTAATAGAATACATATGATATAATAGACTAATAAAAACATGGATAGCTCTTCAGAGTAGGTTGACTAGGAACATAGGTCAGTCATACAACACAGGTCTCCAGAGTACATCTGTACAAAACCTAGTGTTCAGCATGGAGGTCCCTGAGCTACCAAAAATAAGTCCATGGGAGTCAAGGCGGCACAATTCTGTAGCAGTCTACTTTCTTAACCAGCCAAGCTAACTGGCCCTGCTGAAAATCAAGGCTAATTAGCTCAAGCTCATCTCTTTGCTAACGAATGCATGTGGTTTTTGGGACCCAGAGTAAGATCTCTGCAGAGCATTGCAGCATGGTAGGGATATTAACTTACTCAGAGCCATTTTGATGATTTCTAGCATAAGCACTCTGCTCTGTTAAAACATGCCTTATCAGGCTTTAAAATTGTAGTCCCAGAGCCTGCTTGCAATTGAATTCTGTATCAGTGGAACTGCTGTGACTCAATGGCTTTGAATTTGAACTTGATTTGCACTACTATAGACTCAGATGAAAATCAAATCAATGCTAGGGAAAAAGAAAAAAAAAAAAAAAAAAGTGTCCTGAGAATACTAAAGAAATAGTAAGAAGCCTGGTCTGACAAATCAGTATCTGTGAAAACAGTATTTGAAATTAAATTTTTACCTCATTTGTCATTGATGCAATCCTAAGATATTTGAGGTGCTGCTTATGAAGCGCAGATGACTACTAACAGAAATCTTTGAGAGAAAAATATTTTTTAAAGTGTCAATTTTCAGATTTTTAATATAGCATATTCAGTTGCACAGATTCCACTAACTGCTTATATACCAATCACTTTCAACGGGAAGTACATCTTAGACCCAAGAAAACATCCATTAAAGCAAAATGTTACACCTGAGTGGGTTTCAATATTAATACTGTTTCTCAAGCACTTCTTCAACTTCATATATATGGGGAAACCTACACCTGTCTAGAAAGTCAGAGGTTGATGGGGTGAGCACTGATTTTGGAACACAGTAACAACTCCAGTGAGAAGGAAGGCAAATTAAAAAAATTTAGCATGACTTTTTTTTTTTTAGTTACCCAAGACTTACTGCTACTGTTTAGATAAGAAGAAAATATTGCATCTCTATATTTACACGCAAAAAAAAAAAAAAAAAAAAAAAAAAAAAGAAAACTGAAATAATACATAAATAGAAGTATTAACAAATATAAATTGGGGTATAATTAATGAAAAATATGTTTATAAATTCCAGTTGTTCTTGAAAATTTTGTGTTTATTACTACACAAAATCAATCTGATAATTCAGTCTTAAAAAAAATAGAAGCCTATTCATTCATCCTATATATATTAGGTATTTAACAACAGCTAATATATTTTTAACAATGTATACTCTGTTGAATAAGAATAGAGTGCATTTCTTACATATGAAATAAGTAGGAAAGCATAATTAATAACATACATATATTTATTATAACCACTGTAGCGTCCTATTGTACAGCTTCAAATAACAAATGCGAGTCCAAGCTTCCAATCAGCTGACAGTGCAAAATGCGGCAGTAAGATTCATGTTGAGGAGAGTTCAGAACTGAACCTGTCATTAACCTGTCAAAAATGCTCTAAGTTACACTGATATTTCAATGTCCAAAAAGCACATTGAGACAGAAGTTGGGATAGTCACACCTGTAGTTTCATGAGTTTACAATAGGAGCAGCTGATAAAACATCTAAGTCAAGATGAGAAAAAGAATGCTTTTTATAAGTCCATCTGTGAATACAAGGCAAAAAGAGATCACCAGAAAGCAAAAGCTTTCCCATTATTGCATGGATTATTAAATATCAGCAATTACTAATAGCAAGAGGGAAGAAAATATCTTTAGACCTGCCTGAAGACCTAACATCTATGGAAAAGAGGTAGAAAAGAAAATGAGGTACTGCTAGAATTCAGCCAGACTTCACCATTCTTGTCTAAGTTTGTCTAGAGATTAAATCTACAAATAAAATAATAATGATTATATAAAGAAATACAGCATTATGGATATCAAGAAGAAGAAAACCATTGGAACTGCAAGAGGAAAATGTGGAGAAGCCAGTGGTGCAGCTGATGTACTGAGACATGACAAGACAAGTTACTGGTGAGATGGAGGAGAAGCACACACTGCCTAATACTAAAAATGTAGAATTTGAGATAGATACATAGGTTCTGCACTACCAAAAATACTTGAAATAAATCTCAGGCAGTGTCATTAATATGAAATTCCGCAGCAGGAGTCAAGAATAAAATAATTTTTGTATTTATAAAAACTGGCAAAGCTTCATGTATTCCAACACAGATAGCAGAGAACTTGAAGGATAAATTAAATATATAATATACATATTATATATATATACACTTTTATGTATATATTATATAATATATATATATAATATTTTATATATATATATATATATATATAAAATTTGTTGAAACCACTAACGCTCTTTTAGAATGAGGGCTTAATGTCTGTCTTTTCCTTCTCACAACAAGAGATATAGACAATAGAATTGTAATAGATAATTTGGTACCAGCAAGAGACTTTCTTGTCAACATTTTCCCTTCTGAAAGACATAACAATGTTAAATCAAAGGATAACTTTCCCAAAATTAATAATTAGGCTTTACCATTTCAAGCTTTTTTTTTTTTTTTTTTCTTTTTGGTCCCTTTTGCTTTTTGTAAAAACAAAAGATGTGGTTGCTACAGTAAGAGCAGGCCAGAGTTTCTTTACATACAATATGAATTACAAAAAAGAATGCGATGTTATAAGAATAAAATTAAGGCTTTATTAACATTGTGAATTCTGGTATGTCTTTTCACAACAAAACTATAGTTTAAAACAAGAATTATATTTAATTACATGAACAAAAGTTCAAATCAAAATTGGACAAAGACCAAGCAGTTGAACAACATGAAAATATGCATAATCCTATTAGAATCTTATATTTTAATATCATTTAAGTATTATGCTTAATGCAAGCCAGATTCTACCTTGGTGAAGTCCAAAAAATGGTAAAGAATTTATATACAGTACCAATCTGTTGTAGGGTATTTAAACTCTAACAACTTCTCTAAGTTTATTAACAATATAACATGCTCATCTCAAACTACATTACTCAACATATGACCAAAAATCCACCGTATGACCATAAATCAAAATACAAGAAAATGTATTCTTCCACATTATAGCTCCCTTCATTATTCTACTGCCATATAGTAGGGTGTAAGGACATTTTTCCATCCACTGATAATGCAAACAATTTCTGAAGTTCTTAATAATGCTGAAGATTCAACAGAAGAATTGTTCTAGTTATCCTTTTTGCAAAAAATGTAATGGAAATTACAGCCAAATACAGGCGACTGTCTATAGATGTTACAGGGTTTATGTGAAACTGCTTTCTAATATCTACAACCAATTTTGGTGCTACTATAAAATACACTCTTTCATGGGAAAACAAATACTTATCCGTAGAGGTAATGATAGATCTGCTACAAAAAAAGAATATTTCTACAAGTGAGAGAATAAAGGAAAAGATCACAATAGCAATAGAGTCAAGTGAAGTTGACAATGAGCTGAAAAATCTACCAACAGAACTAGCCTATGCTGATGTAAGAGCCATCAGAGCTGAAAGTAAACATGTTTGCTAACAATGAGCAGCTGAAGATCGCAATACTTTTAGTGAGAGGAGGAATTAAGAACATTCTGTAGAACTCGCAGTAGAAAGCAGAAAATTTCAGAATTTCCTTCTTCATCTGAAAGGAACAATGACAGTGCCCCTTCCATTCAAAATGCAGTTTGACCATATCGTTTACCATTATACCACTGGTCAGTTATTGCTACAAGTGCTATTTACCTAATGAAATGCAAAAGGCTTTCCTCTGAATTGTAGATAGAAAGGTTTGGTGAAAATTTGAGCTGTAAACAACAATTCATCACCTGGATTTTTTTTAAATTAAGCTGTATACTTTTTAATTTCCTGAAGGGCACAAAAACAAATTATTTCTCTCAGAAACATCTACTATAGTCTTTTTTCTTTTAGAAGTGTCAGTTTGATGCAAATTTCCAGAACTATTTGCCCTTTGAAAGGACAGCTTCCAAATGACAGATAACTGCTCCAAGAGTAGGTGTTTCATTGGAAAAACAGTTTTGCTTAAAAAATAC